CACTTCTCCTGCAGTTGTCTGAGAACAAACACCATGTCTGTGGTACTCCTGTTGGCTTGAAACTGCATTGGCTTTCAGGTAGAATTCTTTCTGCTATAGTGGGTATTAGTCTGTTCAAGAGTATTCTTGCCAAGATTTTGCCAGCAATGGAGAGCAGAGTAATACCTTGGTAATTTGAGCAATCTGATTTAATTCCTTTCTTCTTTTACAAAGTGATTTTGACTGCATCACAAAGGTCTAATGGTAGTTCACCTAGATCCCAACAGCGCAACACAAACTCATGAAATTTGGCATGGAGTGCAAGGCCCCCAGGTTTCCAGATTTCAGGTGGAATTCCATCAACCCCAGCTGCCTTGCGGATTTTCACCTGCTGAATGGCCTTAAGAGTTTCTCCCAAAGTGGGGGCAATATCCAAGTCATTCTTCACCGGTTGTTGTGTGATGGACTGAATTACTGAGTCTTGAACTACATGGCTAGTGCTGAAAAGAGTCTGAAAGTGTTCAGACCATCGATTAAGAATGGAGGTTTTATCTGTTAGAAGCGTTTGACCATCTGCGCAGAGTAGAGGACTTTGGGTTTGATATGTAGGCCCGTATGTTGTTTTCAGGGCCTCATAGAATCCTCTGTAATCACCCATATCTGCGCATAATTGAGTTTTTTCAGCTAGATTGATCCACCACTTGTTCTGGATGTCACGGAGTTTCTTTCAGCGCTTGCTGCATGCAAGACGAAAGGCTGCTTTTCTTATGTGACAGGATGGCAGTGCAAAGTGTGCTTGATAAGCAGTTCTCTTCTTCCTCAACAACACTTGGATCTTTTGATTGTTTTCATCAAACTAGTCCTTGTTATTCTTGAAGGAGGACCTTAAGGATTCTTCAGAGGACTGCTGGATGCTGTTTTTCATATGGTGCCAGAGTGTTTCACGGGAGGGATCTATAGAATCTATAGAATTAATTTTCGAGCCTAGTTTGAAGGTTTGCCTGGAATCTGTCTCTCACTGTGGCTGATTGGAGATTGTTAATTTGGAGTCTCTTCCTTGGGATACTGACTCTTTTAGGTTTGAATTTAAGATTGAAGTTAAGTTTGC